TTTTTTAATTTAATAATATTATATAATAAGTATATTATAAAAGTTACTAAAAATAGATAGTCTATAAGAGCTCATAGCCTAGATATAAGAGCTGTGAGCGACTGTGGGCTCCCTGGGCTCCCTGGGCTCCCTGGGCATATAAGAATGCTGTGAGTCGCGGGAAAAATTGCTGATGTATCCGCTTTTAGTATTGTAGAATATCGCCCTTTAAAGGTTTATATTAAACCTTAAGTCACGTGATTAAATACGAAGTTTAACTTCGTATTTAGACCTAGGGTCTATGAAATTACGTAACTAGTGCGATATTAATTCCGCACTCTATTAAATAATTGGTCGTACTTACTAATGTTAATTTAAAATCAACATTTTAAGGGTCTTAACTATGGACACTCATTATCTATATAAAGACCTTTACCCTCCCTAGGTAGATAGTTATCTTTAAGTTCTTTAATAGTTAGTTACCTACCTATAAGATTTACGATCTATATGAGCCTTACTATCTATATATTAGATAGTTCTCTAAGTTCTTCGAATAAGTATAAACCTTATTTCCGAAATAGGAAAGATCTTTTTAAATTTAATAATATTATATAATAAGTATATTATAAAAGTTACTAAAAATAAATAGTCTATAAGAGCTCATAGTGAACTGAGACGAGGCTACTAACCATAGGCATTAACTCGTACGGCGGTGGGATAGCCTCTTTACAGCACGCACACTTAACTAAAGGAAGTTTTCCCGTTCGTAACTTAATTAATTATTCTATGAATAATAGTCCCCGAGAACTATATAAGAAGAACCTTAGTCTAGCGTCGACGCCCTAGCTAATCATAAAGCTATTCCTCACTTTAAACTTCTCCCATTACATCCCTTCTATTATCGCTCGCTTTCTTAACGACCTCGCTTAAGACTTAACTATAATCTTCGCCTATTCTCTTAGAAACATTAACTCTTCTTTATACTCTTTAAACGCTCTATAAAGTTATTTAATTATCTCCTATCTAATCTCTTCGGACTCGAGCTCTTTAACGTCTCTAGACCTTCACTACGCTTCGGTTCCCGTATAACTATCTTATAGATCTCTAAGGCGATGGCGAAACGATCCTCGATATCGACTTAAGTATTAGATAAGATAATTTATAAGCGAGTCGTCTCGTAAGTTTCCGTATTAATAATTACTAAAGAATTCTTAATTACTTAGAGCTCATAGCTACTAATATTCTACTAAAGATTAAATTTTAGTTATATTTCCCGGAGTAAAATACTAAAAACGCTATTTCTTAATTATCGAACGAAGAAATCGAGTACTATTTTAGTCGTATTTGTGGAATATCGCCCTCTAAAGGTTTATCTTAAACCTTTAGTCACGTGATTAAATACGAAGTTTAAGTTCGTATTTAGACCTAGGGTCTATGAAATTACGTGACTAGTGCGATATTAATTCCGCACTCTATTAAATGATTAGTCGTGCTTACTAATGTTGATTTAAAATCAACATTTTAAGGGTCTTAACTGTGAACACTTA